AGATTCACCCCTATAGTTGGATGGCTGCTCTCAAACACTGAAGCTTCAGTTACTTCTCCTGGAGGAGAATTCCTTGGGATTACAATGATCAGTCCTTAAACAAATGCTGTGCATCACACCTAAAATAAGCATTTTATTTCAAGACCTCAAAATACCACTTAGAGTTCACTGAATTTGGACAAGAAAAAAAAGGAACAGCAGCCTCTAGGCAGCTTCACAAATAACTGTTTCCTCCAGAATGGAAACAGAAAACTAATACTGTGTATATTAATGCAGGATTGTGAGCCTGCACACAGGATACCCTATCCTGAAATCTTTCATTCATGCTGCCTTTTGCCATTTAATGTAACTGGGAAGAAATGGTTCTTTTCAGAGAATACTAGGACTTCAACCCCAAACATAGGGCATAACCTGAATATCATGGCAAGCAGGGGATGCCCACCTCTTATTTCACTGCATTTTAGAATAAGACACCCAAACTTCTGGAACAGAAGGATGCTTACAAAAGCATTTCTTAAATTCAGAAAAAGATTAAGAGCTAAACTACGTGCATCAAAAAGGACTCGGAAAACTGAGTTTTTTGTACTAAGAATGTTGTCTTTAGAGATGTGATATATCTTTAAATGTCTTCAGGTTTATACTTCAGTTGCTTTGATTTGCACCTCTGCAAGGTGCAAAAATAGCGCACAGAAGGAATTAAAGCTAAGCCACACATACATCTCTCCATACAGCCTTCTAGAACAGAGCCTAGCACAGTTAAACCAGTACCTGCCACTCTATTTAAGAGAGCAATTGGTATAAGCCTTATAATGAAAAGGAAAAAAAATCAAATATTTGTTTCCTTTCATTCAAGTGCAATGAATTCTAAGGTTTATTAATATCAATTGCATGTGGAACAAGTAATGACTGCAGATCTGATCCTATTCCAATCATATCTGTGATGTTATACACACCACCCAAACAGCAGGATCAAAGCCTTTTTTGTATTGTTTTGAAGTTCTGGTTATCAGAATCATTGCAGGAAAACAGCAGGAATGCATAGACTTTGACTTGCTGCTGTTTTAATCTGACCTCATCCCTTTCTTATCAGTCCATTTCAACAAGATGCAACCCTTGAACAGCAGAAACTTCTGAATTCCCAAGACTGATTAGTAACTAATCACTCCTCAGATTTCTCAGTTATACTGTCCAGAACTGCACGTGACAACCAATGTCTCACATCTTCATAAGATAGTGTTACAGTTGGAAAGATTAACATGGTGGAAGGGCAATACAGGTGTGGAACGACAAAGGGACTAGCACAGATAGGATGGCATTTCAAAGGAAAAAGTAAAGGTGCTCACTCATCTGAAGATCTAGGCTCAAAGGAAGGACTCCATAAGGGAAGGATCTCCAACCAGATATCCTTCCCTAGTGGCGGTCAGCCCTTAAATGGATCTAAGAGAGGTGCAGCCAGGCTCCATCTCTTCCTGTCTCACAGGTGAACTGCCTTCACTTGTGCTCCCATGGCTGACCAGTTCCTTTCCCCAGGTGCTCAATCAGTGGTTCAGGCCATGACTCAACAGTTACTATACAGAAACTCATTTTCCTTCACCTCTCCCTTGCACCTGTGTTGTCAGAGCCAGAAATATCTTTCCTTCCCCTTTTTTGGCCTGCATACTTTTTGGTATTATCTGGAAACTTGGTGATGACTGGCAATACTTAGCAGACAAGGCTCTAAAAACACCTTACACAGGTTGATGTTTGTACTTTGCACTTTATGGTCAAATATGAGACACACCCTCAAAGAAAAAAAGCATCGTACAGTAGGTATTAACAGACTGCAAAGGTATTTATCAGAGTCAGTGTAACTTTCAAAAAAATGGTAAAACAAAGGATTGAATCTCAGAAAAGTTTAGCTGTGTGTGAGGATGTGTGAAGAATCAAACTGATATGACTAGAGACAAAATTCAGATAAAAATAAAGATAATCAGTTACTTGTAGACATGTCTCTTGTATTTAGAAGGCGGCATTACAAGATTTGTTGACTGGCATTAGCAAAAAAAGAATTATTTAACATGCAGCAATGAAACTGCAGGTGCTTCTTAAAGTATCAAAAACCTCATGAAGTATCCTACTTATTTTTTCATACATCCTTACTCTTAGATCAGACAGCATTTGAAACTGAAATGACAGGCAAAAAGCTGGCAGGCAGAATTACTGGAGATGTCAGTCAGGATGCATATTGGGCTAGTCATGTCATTCATAACAGGAAAACTTGATTGTGAACTCAACTGCAGCCAAAATATTGCATAGGTCATCAATTTTGCTTGACTAGCAGCTGAGCAGAAGTTGCTGAGAAGAGGCACCATCAGCAGGCAGTGTTATCAAGGCTGGGCATCACCTCCTCACAGTAGCTGATCTCACACTCAGGTAGCTACTTTTTCCAGGCGTTCAGTGTGTCTGTTAGCTACAACACACATTGCTGTGACTGAAGGATGTCAGTACAAACATGGCAGATCACTACCTCACTTCAACCAGTAAGCTCATCTCTAGAAATATATAACCACTGTCTTCCAGCCCCACTATCAGCCCCCAGTCTGCAACTAGTGCTACTGCTCAGCAAACAAGCTCCAATTTCTCCTCCTTGTCCCAGAATCACCGCAGGAGCAGAAACACATTAGAAACAATGAAAAAAGGATTAATGAATGTTCCAGGTTGGAATGGTTCTACTACAACACAGGTATCCAAAATAGCTCATTTTCACAGCATGTTGCAAACCTATTGCTTGAGCTGGGGTTTTAGGCATAGAGCAAGAAAAATATACACATCTATGTGTACATACATATATACATATATAACATTTTTAGTTACTTCAAATAAAGCTGCCTCAACTTGAGATAGGTAAAGCTCCCACAAGCTCATCAAGGATTCTTGCTTTGCATACACAATGGGCTAAACATTCGTAAAATAAAGTGACTACACTGTAGGCAACCAAAAAAATAATTTTCCTTTTCTTCACTGTAAGGAGTACTTATATCAATAAGTCCCTGCACACTGAACTAAGAAGTCAAAATGCAAGTCATACTCTACACAGAACTAAGGAGTGATGATACTGAGTTGCAGTGTGAGACACAAATTTCATTTCAGCATTTCAAAACTTCATTTTTAATATGGCTTTCACTGGACTTGTTCAAATAAACTGCTGTAAGTAAGGGGTGGAGCCTAGTTACAGAGACCCTGACACAGACTGAGGAATGCACTGCAATTCAGGATAGCCTTTCTGTCAAGGTAAAGAAATGAGTTGTTGGATTATAACATATGACAAAGAGAATTAGCAGTTGGTCTCACCTTGCCTTTTGCCTTTTTGCACACCTGGGTACCTGAAGGAGTTATAAAACGACAGCAGGAAAAGGAAATTCAAGTCCCATAAGCCATTGTTTCTAGTCCTTCAAAATAAAATCATTTTACTTTTCCAAGACAATGGAGTATCAGAGGCAGTTCTCAGAGCCACATATGTAATTATTCCTTGTGAAAAGTATTCTCACCCTATACAATGAGTACATAGCTTCTGCTTTTACTGCAGCAGCTATGTACCAGATCCCCTTCTGTATCCCACCCTGTTCACATCTGAGGATCAAATTCATTTTTATCATAGATTTGTTAGAGATGGAAGGGACCCTTGAAGTTCATCTGGTCCAACTCCTCTGCAGTTAGCAGGGACACCTACAGCTACATCAGTTGCTCAGAACCTGGTCCAGCCTGGCCTTGAACATCTGTAGGAATGAGGTATCCATCACCTTGCTGGGCAACCTGTTCCCATGCCCTTATTGCTCTCACTGTAGAAAGCTTTTTCCTTATATCTAGCTTAATTCTCTCCTCTTTTAGTTTGAAACCATTTATCTTTGTCTTATCACAGCAGACATTGCTAAAGTCTGTCCCCTTCTTTCTTGTGGCCCTCCTTTACATACTGAAAGGCTGCTTCCAGGTCTCCCTGGAGCCTTCTCATCTCCAGGCTAAACAGCCCCAGCTCTCTCAGCCAGCCCTCGTAGGCGAGATGTTCCATGCCTTATATTACTTGTGACCCTCCTCCAGATGCTCCAGCAGGATCATGTCTCTCCTGTCCTTAGGATTCCATATATAGACACAGTATTCCAGGTGAAGGCTCCTCCATTGGTCAGGCAGGACATGCCTCTGTTTGTCTTGCATCACCTTCCTGTCTTCCATGTGCCTTATTACAGCTTCCAGGAAGACCTGCTCCTGGATTTTCCCTGATATGAGGCCAACAAGGCTGTAGTTCCCCAAGTCATCCTTTCTACCACCCTTCTCAGGTTCCTCTTGTACCACCTTCCTAGGAGGGTCTCTGTCAGGTTCCAATAAGCTATGATTCCCTTCAAATCAATTTTAGATGCATATGCTTTAGCAGTCAGAAGGAAGACAAAAGTGTCAGCAATAAAGATGTTACCAAGCACAGAGCACAACGCTCCTTCATAGCTTTTCTCATTCTTTCTAAGTTCCTGGTGTTACCCACTTTTCTTCTTTGTCGCTGAAACTTTCTAGTCACCTGAAGTCTAGCTTTTCTCATCTCATTCCTAAAGACATTATTTTGCCAGAGGAGATAAGTTGTTTCTCTTAGAGAGGATGGATAATGAATAATTAACATTTCATTTCTCCAGTTTCACCTAGTTGTTAAAAACTTCTTTAACATCACATAAGGATGAAATAAAAAAATGTTTATTTCCAGTTTCAAAACTATTAAAATCTTCCACAAAGTTGTCTATCCCATATGATTCTAAAACTGCTGATAAAGTCTACAGTTCAGATGTATGAACACTCATACTTTTTTAAATATAGTGCTGCGATTTCCATATAGAATATGCCACAAATGTTTCACATTGAATCATCAATAAAGAAATTAAAATTAAGCTAACCGTAAATTTACATCTTAGCTATACCAAGTACTAAAAGTGCCTTCCTCTCCACAGCAAAACACCATGTGCTCATAACAGCCCCTTACTGACCTGTTCGATGCAGGTGATCTCTAGCCAGCTCAAATAAACGCATATGCATATTTGTGATGGGGTTAAAGGAGCCACAAGCTAGAAGAATGAGAGGTATCCTGCTCTTCACTGACATGAAGATACTGAAACTTCACCCTAAAGAAAAAACAGCATAAAGTACGAACTTGACTAAGTGCAGTCTTCCCATCACTCCTCAGAACAAAGGCAGCACTCTTCAGAATCACGTACTCGTGACACATTGGTAAAGTATCAAATGTTCAGTTTGTTGTATCATTACAACACAAAGAAATTAGCTCAAAAACGCAGGTATTTTAACACTAATTAAAATTTTTTTCTCTATATACAGAAATAGCTAGAAACTATTTCTAGAAATTCATGCATTACTATTACCAAGAACTGTCAGGTTTTGACTTTTCTTTATTTTTAACCTGTTTTTGTCAGGAAGCAACTCCTCACACTGTCCTTCTGTCAGCCTCCTATTAATAACTTTAAAACCTGTAGGCCTGTCAAAAGCAAATTTTTAATTTTTATTTTTAAAATAAGTTGGGACCTGTGCAGCATATGGCAAAAACCCACATGCAACACCCAAACCTACAGGTCTGGCTTCCTCAGAGGTAGGCAGACAGCCAGTCTGCACATACTTTATTAGCAGCTGCCTGTATAGTTTCTTCATTGGATGGCAGACAAGTGACAGCTCAATGATGGGGAACAGAAGCTATTACTGTTATACAGGGGACACTAAAATCTATGGATATGGAGAATGGGTGGGGAGAAATGCTTGAACTGGAAAATAATATTTATGCATTTCAGCCAACTTCAGTGATCTCAATACAAAAGCAGTAGAAATCAGTCTTAGTCACTCTGCTTAGCACTACTTGTTTGCTTAATTCTTTTTACAGGTACGATTCCAAGAGTTATGTCCTACATACATATCTGCAATTATGATTTTTAGGTGTGCTCTCATTTCCCTATATTTGAGCTTAGCATACATACCCGACAGCACTATTCCAAGTCTTTGTATTCCCTTATTTTTTTTTACCCTTTTTTAAAATCTTATAATTTGAAAACAAAGCCACACTGAAGCTTCACAGTTACAAATTCTATCAGATGATTGATAGAATTTATTTTAGTATTTAAATCTGCAGAGTAGGACTGCATTCAAGGCACAGAGCAACAGTTTTTAATATTTTCACACTTGAAGTGTTAGCAGTTACAAATTTTTTTCATAGAGAAAACTATTTGAAGCATGTGCTAACATTTCATTATCTAGTACTAAATACACATTAAGATTCCCCCATTTCATTTTTACTCATTTCTCATATCTCCTATAATCCTAAAGATATACCACAGGCAAGAAGACCATGGCTGGAGAGCCATTAGAAGCAATGTTATGGTCTACAATTGCAGTAGCTATAGGAAGCACATTGTGCAGCTCTGTGTCCCTCTTCCTTGGTTTACTAACCCTGCTGAGGCACTAACAAACTCATGCACAGAGGCTGTCTGCAGTCTTTCAGGTTCCTTATTCAAAAGGAAACTGAAACCAAACTCAAAAGTGCTCTTTGCTCTGTACCAGCAATTCAGTAAATCTACTGTCATTTTATTATGAATGACTTGTTTTTTTTTTTTTTTTTTTTTTTTTTTTTTTTTTTTTTTTTTAAACTTGTTTCAAGGAAGGAAGATACCTGATTGACTGAAAAATACGTTGAAAAACTTTTAAGCGTTCTTTCCTGTTCGGCTGACATGTAGTTTATGCTTCCTTTGCACTGCTTTCCTTGGCCATGTTGAGAGTTATAAACTGAAAGATTTATTTTTTTGTTTGCTTTCAAAGCAGCTCTTTATTCTATATACTTTTTTCTTACCTGAAAAAGATACCTTCGATTGTTGGATTTCAGCTCCTATTTTTAAAAAAGAAAAGATCAAACAGAAAATAAGCTAAAAGGCATTCCAAAATATATTTATATGGAAACAGAAGTACAAATAATAATCAAAAAGGCTGTTATTCCCAGTACCCCTATGCAGTGTATCCTAACTTACTCAGCAGGTACGGTACAGCTTCTAAGATCTCAAAGAAACCTTTGAGGTTCAGCTGCTACTTCCTGGGTTGCCAATTCAAAATAGGTAAACCTGCGCTTAGAACACTATCGGGTATGGATCATCTCAAGCTGCAAAAGGGTGAAAAGCTGCATTACCAAGGAAGTATTTTAGGTACCTCTCTTCTGTTAGATTGAGGAAAAAAAGGATGACTGGAAAGGAATTCCAACTGGAGCAAACACTCCTGTATTTTGAAGATAATTTCTGAGAATATTTTAAGATATCAGCTCCCTACGCAAATATAAACAGAGTATATCATTAAGAAGAAGTTATACAGCTTCCCTATTCCTCTACTTATTCTTGTTCATAGAATTGCCAGCATGTTTTCTGGCTTCTTCATAGCTACTAACGTATACCTCACACCAAAGGTAAACGAGGTTTCTCCCTACAGACAGGTATCTATTTGCTACAGACTAGTGAACCTAAAGCATCTTATACAAAAGCTGATAAAAACAATCTAAATCAACCCAGTGCTCAGAAAATAGCCCAGATTCAGTGTTGAGACAAGCTGACCCCTTCCAACATAAAAAGGGCAAACATGGATTTTATAGTAACAGAGCTAACCCCCATTAGTAACATGCCCTGGATCCTTCCATGGTGAGAACCCAGCAGCAGTGCAACTTTTATCTAGTGAAAATCACCATTACCATTCACAAGAATTAGATAAAGCACAAATAGTGTATTAATTTGCTAAGGATTTAAAGTAAGTGAAGCATCTCCCCCCTCTCCTCCAGAATTAAGTGAACAAGAACATACACATACAAAAATACAAAGGAACAAACAAGCCAACACATACTTTTCTTTAGCTAAATTCCTAGAAAAAAAAATAAACACAGAAGAAAAACTAAACGTTATAATATTCTCCTAACCAGCTTACCCCCTATAATGCAGTAGCAGCAACACTAAGTGTTGGAACATCTCAGTATTCCTGACACCTCCACCAAACATTCAAGTCAAAGTCTTTCATAGGTTGCCACTGTCAGTCCTAGAAAACAACAAAACTACTTCTGGCAAGTTCATTACAATACCAGACAGTATCATTAGGAATACCAAAAATCATGCACAGGAAAGAGTTGACTCACCCAACTAGTGATGAGAACCTCTGTCTACAGAGCGCTCCTCGAGAAGAGACCTCCATACAGGAAATGCCCTCCTTCCAGAGGCTAGCCCTTAAATGAATCCAGGAAGGGGTGGATCTGAGACCCATGGGACTTCCAGTCACATGGGAAGCACAGGTAAATTGTTTGCACCTGTGCTTCCTTGGCCAGACACTCCCTTCACAATCAATCATCAGTTCAGGCCATGACATAGCAGTTCCCCTACAGCCATTAATTGACTTCCTCAGCTGAATCAAACCACAAACAAGTAGGTGACTGTGATGTTACCAGGCATTTATTCAGTGTGAATATTGTACCACGGGAATATATTTGTTTTTATAAAAGTAATCCAATAAGTAGTGCTGAGTAGCTTGGATAAGTTGTCTTCCCTTGCCAAACAGCTCTCAGATCAAAAAAACAGTGTTTAATAGCAGCAGTAAAAACCTGTGTCAATTTCAATACGCTAAAACTGATTTGTGCCTATTAGTTGCTATATGTGTTTGCAAAAAGCAGCCCAGCTGTCATATCACTTAGTTAAATAATTAATCATAAATTAATTTGTTCCCTAGCAATTGTCCCTACATAATGCATCTTCCATTAGTGGTGCCCCACAAAACATGGTAGTGTTTGCTCTTATTGCAGCTCCCAAGCCTAGCTGAAATATGAAATACTTTCGAGAAAGTACATGGATAATTCAACTGTTCTACTTCTGTGGTAATTCTGATGAAATAAATACTGATTAGGTCAGGTACATACCTTGCTTTCTAACAGAAAAGAAGAAACATGGAAAACACACGATATCTGTAGATTGGAAAGGGAGGAAAGGACAGAATGTACCAAATTGGATTGCAACCAAGAAAGCAAGTCTTCTCTTAGGGATCTTGGTAACTAAACTTTAGGAGTGTTTCAATGTCGTGGTGCTATTAATCAGCAGATAGAACAATTATTTAGCAGTTCTAGAAGTCGGGTCTTCATTTCTGCTCTTCCACTTCTATAACTGTGAAAAAGGAAATAGAATTCAACTGTTTGAGAGGCTGTCCCTGGCTTCATGCATACCAAAACTGAAGTGACCTGATTTGTAGGTACCTACTTTGTGCTTCATCCTAATATTAATTATTAGATCTGTCATAAATTATTGCTTCTATGTACAAGTTAAATGCTCCATAATCATTACAAAAATAATCTCAGGAATCCTCTGAGGATGACTAATTGAATAAAGGAATCACTTTTGTACTTACAATCATTCTTGCATCAAAATGCTCTACATACCCAGAAACAAAAGTGAATATAGGAAAAAAAAAAAAGACCACCAACCAACCATTACAAACCTTAACTACACAAACTCAAAAAAGATCAGGTGGTATTTATTCTGAACAAATTCTAGTACTGGTATTGCCCCCACTTTAAATAAATGTACCATATGCGTTACAAGGAGCGAGAAATGGTTGTGCTTATGCAATTTTAGGCCTTGGCTTTCCTGTCTGATCCAGGACAGCTGTGTACTTTCCTAGTACATTTAGACATTGATTAAGCACAGGCTTCAGAGGAGGAATTCTAACAAATCTTCCAAGAATAAGTACTTTGTTTCACATCATTTGCTTTCCAGCATTCTATTATTGAGTTTACAAAGCAGCATCGTTACTACATCAAGTTTGTTATAAAAAAAATATTATCTCCCCCTTGCTAATATTAATCAATTTTATTTATTTATTTTTAAATGCTTGGATTTTAAAAGTTAAGCCTCCCACAATCTTCGTTTGCTGTAACTTCCAAAGTCCCATATTCCAAAGGCAGAAATAGCAAAGTGCGTGGTAACTTTCTATATTGATTGGGTACTCACTACTGGGCAAACCAGTTTCAAGTCGCCTTTTTTTTTTGAGAAAAGGGGCAGACAGTCACAGAGATAACTCACATTTGTAATCTTCCACCATAATAACTCCTGTGCTTTTTAACTGTCTTCATGTGATCAATGACTTGCTGCCACTTTGCTTAAAAACCAGCAAGGTTTTAGCAGTCTGCTTTGCTACTCAAGTACTTGCTGCATTAGCACCATGTCTGTGTGTGTATCTCAAAACATTAAACTAAAGTCAAAGCACCTAAAATTCCCTTAAAAAAAAACAAAAAACCACACACAAAACCAACCCATCCACTATCTGTATTTCAGAATTCTGTAAGTATTTATAAAGCATTAGTGAAAAATGTCTGTTAAAGCAACAGATGAAAGACTGATCTGCACAAGCATATATATTTTCTAATTTTTACTGACAAACATTTTTATAATTGTCTATGCTAGTTCTGCAGCAAGATCTCATCTTCTACTTTCAAGAATTTTGAAACATTTAATAGAATGCTTGGGAACAGGTATTTAACATCACGTTTATCAAGCAGAAGTAGTATGCTAATTTTATTTTTTTAGTCTGTAATTTTTTTTAAACCAATTCTGGTTTTAAGAAACAACTACATTTGATTTTTGCATAAAATGAGTACATTTTATAAATACATCTCCTGCCAGTTCAGCTTCCCTCCTGACATGACAGACACTGCCTTTTGTTGTATTTCTGCTTAGTGAAACACTACACAGCTTTTGTCATCTTTGCTGTTCTCAAAATTCAGAAATAATGGAAACAAAAAACAGCACAGCTTTGACCAGACAGCGGGAAGGTTTTGCTTTTAATGACAAAACAGATGACTCAAAGACGACAATTAACAGGTTCACATTTCCTGCAGCAGCTGTCTGGCTCCTGGTGAGCTCTGCTCATTCAGGGCTGCACACGCTCCGCCCTGAGAACATGTCCCAGTAGCCTTGGCAAAACCGATGCCTTCTTTCTACATGATAGTTGCTATGGTACTGCCTGCAATGTAGAAAACTTTCAACAATATGGCACACCATGCAGCTATGCATAAAAGGGTAGATAGCTTCAAATGAGGAAGCCTCACTTAAGCAATGCAATAGATTATATGATGGAAAAAACTGTTATAATTCTCATTAAAAAATTTCTGCAAGTTCCTATTCTAATGCTTATATTCCTAAATACATCAATAATAGATGACATTACAGATGACCACAGTTAAATTCTGCTGAAAGTCATTAATTAGAGCCATATCTGATTAATTATCAGAAGCACAATGGAGTGCTGAGCAGTGCAGTCTGATTCATGAGCTGTTAAATTAGTAAACTGGAGGAAAAGACACTGATACGTGCACACTGTGAGGGGGGCTCACCCTTGAGGTAAGATTTCTGTAAAGAGCAGAAAGAAACTGAATTTCAGCACAGGATGAAAGTGTTATTTCCTCCTGTGAGGGCAAATCTAGACTAATTTATATGAAATTTAGATTTGAACAAGTTCAAAGCTGCTCATATCCTTTCTTTCATGGGGTCACATCGTTATCTCGTATAAATTTATGTAGCTGCACTGAGCCCAGCTGAGTTACACTAGGTGATGCTAAGGATGTTATGGTTGTAAGACATTCTCAAAGTGAGAAAAAAGTACATTTTACCAGGTAACTAAAACCATAGCAGACCATATTACACAAATAACCCTTTAAAATATGATCTCAGGTACCTGAGATTTTTCTCATGCTGTTACTAGTGGGAGCCATTGCTATAACAGAAGTTAGTCCAGTCTCTATGTTCCCAAGATGTACTTTTACTGAAAGAAGTCCTCCATAGCAGTCACATACATACCTACATATTCACCCTTTCCACTTTAATAATGAAGATAACATAAATATCTGGGTAAGAGAAAAAATGAAAAATGTATAATATAAGATGGTATTTTATTTGCTTATCAAGAAGTACTCACCCCAGCCAAGAAGAATTTTACAAGGTGGCTATAAATATTATTCACAGTTTAATATGACACTCTAATCCTCTAAAATGGCTTTTTCAGGGCCACATGATAGATCACAATTGTTAAATTGCAGTGAATCAGGTGTACTACATTTCTTTGACTTTCACTGAAGAACCATTAACAAAGTACGTGATGGGATACATGATTTTTGATCATATTCAGCATTATCCAAAAGATGAAGTTTTCCCTTTCAATCTCCATATTAGAGTTGTAGTTAAAAAATGCAAGTCTCATCACCATTTCTAAATCAGCTTCAAAGAAACCCCCAAAACTAACCAACTCCAAGCTTGCTGCAGGATTCACCAGAGCAACAGCATATGCAACTTGACAAAAATCATCTTTTCTTTCCCCTTCACATATCTGTGAAAAGGACCCAAAGCATACCAAATATTGCCTTCAGTGGTGTATGGTGTTCTTGTGCTTAAACAGAGGATAGGCTTAATTTTGGGATACTATTTTTTTTTTCTGCTTTGTGCAAGCAGTAACTTCCCCAGCAAATTGCAGTGACCAAAAAGCTATCAAATTCTTATGCATTACATACATTTCTTACTCTAACATACGAATTTGCCTAGTAACACTGAGGACTTGGCATGGCAACGAAGCTGTTTAAGTAAATGGTTCCTAGGCACAGGATTTCACATTGCTTGTTGTCTTTATATTTCTATTAGTTAATCAATTTAGAATTTCTACTTGCTTCACCTTTTACAGTCAAAGGGTTCAAACTGAATAGACAAAAGCACGTAACTTGCTATCACTCAAAATGCTTTGCTTGCTCCTGAGAATATTTCATCATTCATTTGGTATCTAACCAAAGAAAAAAAGTGGCATTCTGGACCTGACACCCCACTGGGCTGGACAGACCACTAGTATGACACATTATAGCACTTCTTAAGGCTTTTGAGATGTGCATAATACTCTATAAGCCTAATGGCTAGTTTCTTAGTTTCTATCTTAGTAATAAGAATAATGCAGAATGCTTGGTGGATAGCGAGGCTTCTACAGCTTCTTCAGTGATGCATTACAGTAAACCAATACAGGAAAAAATCAGGCTGTGAAGTTGCTCTGGAGATCTGGCAGCCTCAGGGCAGCAGCACCCTGCAGTCGTGGGGCGGGCAGCTTCCCCCAGCTGCTCCAATCTGCCCTGCCAAATGCTGCAGTTGGTGCTCAAGCATCTTATAAAATAAGACCTTAAATCATCACTGCAATGATGTGATTTATCTCATTAAAGTACTTTAAAAGGCAGCACCTCAAATAGTTCCAGTTCGCATTTGACAGGACTGTCACCTTGTGCCCTCAGTGCCCCTTGGACACCTCTGGGCTTCCCTAAAGTCTTTCACAAATTCTTCTAGACCACGAGTGCCAATTAGCTAACTGAACCTAAGCTAAATTCTACAATTTTTCTAAGGTTAAAGGCATGAAGTTAGTTTACTGCTAGAACTGTGCGATCTGACCAGTCCTAAACCGCAGCTACTAATGATCAGGAATGAACTGATTGCACACTGTATTGCACAGAGCTTAAGGAAAACAAACACAGCCACGCCATGGCCCGATGCCTGCTAAAGTCTTTGAATAATGCAACGCCAGAGATCATTTATAAATCCAAACACCAGCTGCTGTGTGAGATGGGAGACGGCCTCGGAGACTGAAGGAGGGGAGACAGGAGAACGGTTACACAGTGAAAGCTGGGGATCGAAATACGTCTGCGTAACCACAGACATCCTTGTCTGCTTGAACTCACCGACACTCTACGAAGTGTTTGGGAAAAAAAGCCAAAGTTCATTTATCAGTTTCAATTACAGTTCTAAATATCCATATATAAAATATATGGACGTGTATTGCACCTGTATTTTCCGGGAACAGCGCCGTACTTTCAGTGCCCGAGTAGTTCAGCTACACGCTCGGGCGTGTAACAAACGCCTCCCATCGTCCTGGCGGAGCCGCTCCGGTTCCAGCACGGAGGAGCGGCCGTTTCCCAATCCCTCACTGCCCGGCGCACCCCGGGCTGCCGGCCCCCACCTGGCCCCGCAGGAGTCGCCCAGCGTTGCCGCTGCCCCCCGTTCGCACCGTGCCCACGGCTCGGCCCTTACCGCGCGCGGCCGGCCGCTGTTGCTGCAACCCCCGCGATCCTTGCGGCGCCGCGTCCTGCGGTTGGCAGCCCGCTGCTGTTCCTGCTTGTAAGGAGGAGCGGCTGGCACCAGCGGGGTGACGGGGTCGGGTTACAGTTGAAACGTCGGTGCGCTCCGGTTGCTTCGCTGAGGCTCCAGGACTTAAAGAGAGCTTGTAAACAGGAGGGAGATTGACTTTTTACACCATCTGTTAGCGATAGAGCAAGGAGGGATGGTTTTACATTAAAATAGGGAAGATTTAGGTTAGATGTATTTAGGTTAGATGTTAGGAAGAGATGGCGAGGCACTGGCACAGGCTGCCCAGAGAGCTTGTGGATGCCACATCTGCAGATGTGCTCAAGGTCAGATTGGATGGGGCCTCAGGTCCGATCTGGTGGGCGGAAACCCTGCCCACAGCGAGCAGTTGAAATGAGGTGGTCTTGAAGGTCCCTTCCAACACAAGTCATTCTGCGATTCTAGGAACACAGAGATCTGCAGTGGTGCTAGGGTCCTTTATGTGTATTGGGGATGAAAATATTGAAATCTCCAATTATTAACATGCAAAGATTCACAAGACCAGGCTTTGACCGGCCAGTTCAGCTGGCCACAACAGTGCTGGTATATGACATAAGTGCTGGCAGAAT